TTGAAAAGAATGGGTATTCTGCTGTTTTAGGGTACAATGTTCTGAAAATATCTGTTTAGTGCATCTGGTCCAGTATGTCATTCAGAGCCATTGTTTCCTTGTTGATCTTAGATGATCTATTAATGTAAATGGGGTCCTAAAATTCCCTATTACTGTTATCTCTTAGCTCCTTTGTTTTTTAGTAATTGTTCTATATATTTGGGTGCTTCTACTGGGTGCATAAATATTTACAATTGTTAGATGTTCTTGTTGGATTTTTTCTTTTATTATGATATAATATAATATCATCTTTATCATCTCTTGTTATACTCTTTGGTTTAAAGTCTAGTTTGTCCATAGTTAACAATAGAGCTACCCTATGGCCCAGCAGTTGCACTACTAGGTATTTATTCCAAAGGATACAAACATAGTTATTTGATGGGGCACCTGCACCCCAGTGTTTATAGGAGCAGTGTCCATAATAGCTAAAATATGGAAAGAACCCAGATGTCCATCAACATATCAATGGATAAAGAAGATGTGGAGTGGTGTGTGTGTGTGTCTGTCTGTGTGGGTTGGAATATTACTTAGCCATCAAAAAGGTGAAATCTTACCATTTGCAATGACATGGGTGGAAATAGAGGGTATTATTGCTAAGTGAAATAAGTCAGAGAAAATTACATTATTTCACTCAGATGTGGAATTTAAGGAACAAAACAGAGGAGCATAGAGGAAGGGAGGGTAAAAATAACATGAAATCAAAGAGGGAGACAAATCATAAGAGATTCTTAACTATAGAAGACATATTGAGGGTTGCTGGAGGGGTGGTGGGTGGGGGAATGGGGTAACTGGGTGATAGGCATTAAGGAGGGCAAGTGGTGTAATGAGCCCTGGGAGTTATATGCAACTGATAAATCACTAAACTCTACCTCTGAAATAATATACTATATGTTAATTGAATTAAAAAAATAGTCTAGTTTGTCCGATATAAATATGGTTACTCCCATCTTTCTTTTGAAACCCATTTACATGATAAATGTTTCTCCACCCTCTCCCTTTCAATTTGCAGGTGTTTTTAAGTCTAAAATGAGTCTTTTGCAGGCAGCATATAGATGGGTCTTTTTTTTTTTTCCTTTTACCATTCTGACACCCTGTCTTTGGATTGGAGCATTTATTCTATTTATATTAAAAGTGATTATTGATAGAGAATGTTTTGATAAAATTTCATAAAAAATCATAAACATGTTGTTTTTACCATTTATTGTGTTTTGTCTTTTTATGTTTGACCACAGTTCTGCTTTTCAAGAAAGTCATAGAAGTCATTTAGATAATTATCTCTCAATCTTGCTATTTTTTTTAACATTAAAGATCTTTATCACCCTATAGATAATTTTTATTTAAACTGCAATAAAATTCTGACCAGAATTCTAGTATAAATTAATTGTAGTAACTCAGTGAATTGACTGTGTATTTTGAAACTCTGGATGGATCCCCAAATCTTTAGTCATAATCGTAATTTCAAAATTTATATTAGATTATAAAATACTAATATACTTATTTAAAAAACTATAAAACATTAACTAATCTATCCTTTGGTACAATAAGTATCCAGATAAATGCTCCTTTACTTTTTGTCTGATGAACTTTTCTATTTCTATAAACTTTAATATTCTTGTATTTTAGAGAATAAGGCTTCAATAAATATAGAGGTTGACCCCAGGCATCCCACTATGCTTCCTGAGTGCTGCTTTCTTGGAGCTGACCATGGTATGAGCTCTCATATTTAAGTGTTTTTAACAGAGTCATAAAATTATCTTGCACTGTTAAAATACTCTAAAATATCAATATATATTGGTAATCATTTTAAATGAAAATGTCTCATTCTGAACTATGTACTTTTGTAGTTTTTAAAACATACATGATTTAGATTTTATAGTTAAGTAATTAGCAAGTTCTGTATTTAACAATATTGTATATTTCAAAGCTGCTAAGAGAATAGATCTTAAATGTTCTCATCAGAAATTTATAACTACATGCAGTGATAGATGTTAACTAAACTGTGTAGTAAGTGTATCGTAATACATACATATACCAAATCATTATGTTGTACACCTAAAACTAATACAATGTTGTATGCCAGTTATATCTCAGTTAAAAAAAATTATGTGCTAAATGTCACTTCACAAAGTGAGAGCAGCAGACGCTAAATTATTAAACTTTTTTTTCCCCCCATCTGAAGTGGTAAAACCGCTGGGAATTAAACTGAGCAGAAACATACATTTGTGGTAGGTAACTTTGCAATACAATTATGTTTTCTATTAATTTGCAAATTTAGTAACAAAATTCTTTTCATGCTTTCAGGGATCCAGAAAATAGTCTGTTACAAAACTTGAAAGATGTTTTAGAAATAGATTTTCCAGCTCGTGCTAACCTGGAAAAATCTGTAAGTTTTATCAGTGCTTTGATATTCCAAACAGCATAGCATAATGAAAGTTAAATGTTCGTCTTTTAGACACCAGAGAAAAATGAGGCTGAAAGGGAGGGAATTGGAAGAATATTATAACAGACTTCTGAACTGCAAGCAACAGTAGCATCAAAGAACTTGTTAACCTTTGATAAGTGGTTTAAGTATACTTTTTTCATGGTCTTCATAGCAGTAAAGTGATTAATGACAGACATCTTTATTATTAAAAATAGGGGGAAAGGTCCAAAGTAGCTAATGAGATGTTTGGATATTCTCTTACTATCTACTTATGAATCATTGAAATAAAGTTTTAATTAGCTTGATGTATTTGTGAAAGGTGGCTGTACAGTTTTTAAAAATGAATAGACATCACTGTGTTGCAAAAATAATAAACTTAGAATTGATTTTTGATAAAGCTGCTGAAAGGTTGTAGACTCAAAGTGGTGGGGATATTTTTGTCTTATTCCTTTAGTTATAGAATTTTGAAGTTTAGTAATCACTAGCTAATGTCAGTTCTTCTCTTTCCATACTACTGTGCCATTATATTGACATACAATATGGGAAAACTGAGCTCAAAATAGAATCTTTTTGAGGAGATCTGTGTTACTTGTTGGATGAAAAAGGAAGTATTCTTTTCACAAATAGCTTTTCTAAGGTGTTAAATAGTGATGTAACTATTTTCTGTAATATAGTGATATAGCTACCTTTATAAAAACTTTATATAAAGTTAATATTTATACGTATTACTCATTTTTTCTTATTTTATCATGTGTGTTTTAAACACATATGCTTATAAATATTTATTTTCTTTTGAAGGATTTTTCTTTGGATTGTGGGATTTGTTATGCCTATCAGCTTGATGGTGCCATTCCTGATCAAGTGTGTGATAATTTACATTGTGGACAGCCTTTCCATCAAATATGCTTATACGAGGTACAAATAAAAAAATAACCTTGGCAAGACTTTTTTGGCTACCATGACATAGGAATATAGGAGTCTAAAATCTGTTTAGTGAATGGTGATCTCTATTGCCATTAGCTTCTTTACCAGTTCATTTCCAGATGCTCATGTGCTTTCATTTTTTTCATCCTGGTCACTAATAAATGAAGAAATCCCAAACAGGGAAAAAAAATACCTAGAATATGTTTATGGACTGCTTATTGATGCTCACAAATCAAATTGATGTTATCTTGGTTTCTTCAAGTAAATATCTCCTGTAATAACCACAGTGCAAACTCTGTAGACTCATCCAAATGGGAGTAGTGGTGGCAATAAGGTGAAAGGGAAGTAGCACTATCAAGTCTCTATTACTCTTCAGAGTGCACAAGTATAGACTAAATGTAAGAATCTTACATTTGATATTGAGAAGAATGCATTAACCTTTTACTATTTATTTACTATATATGAATTCTGCTTTCATTCCTGTGTAGTCACTTGGTCTCTATAGCATTCATCTTAGTGCACAGTTGACATGATTAACCATATATGCATATATATGTAGAACATCTTGTAGTTGTATCGTGCTTTGTCTTCTTTAATATCACCTCCCGTTTTTGTGCTTAGAGACGGCAGTTGGTGTTATCTGCACTTTAACAATGGAGAACATAGAGATGTCAATTTACCTTATATTAAAATCATAAAGTACCAGGTCTAATTATAGAGATATTCTTAAGGGAACATATGCTTTCTTTTGTAATAATGAATATTCATTTAATTTTTTAAAATGGACTACACCTCATGCTTCTAATTAATGGATTGAGAATTAACCCAGTATTGGTGATTAAGACCTAAATATTCAAGAGCCTATGGTATCTTTTATAGCAGCAATGCTTAATTTGTAATAAATGATTTTAGGTGGGGTCTGTGAACCACATGGACTTGTGTGCATTATTTTTGTGACTGTTTTGGGAGTTGAGAAAGTGCATAAAGGGGCCCATAAACCAATGGCATTGACCTTGAAATCCATGCTGGTCTCCCCTTGTTATTCAGCATATTATTACCAGTCTGGTATGGGTTCAGGATATGTTCCCTTTACTTTTTGTAAAAGAAAATTAAGAAGGCAAATCTTTTAGAATATGTACTCAAAGGATGTGCTATTTGGAGTATCTGTGATTTGTAATCATGCTGACACTGATCCCTTTATCTTCTCTTTTTAAAATCTTTAGTGGTTGAGAGGACTGCTGACTAGTAGACAGAGTTTTAACATCATATTTGGTGAATGCCCATATTGCAGCAAGGTAAGAAAATCATTAATCACATTTCATATAATGTGCCTAGCTTTTAGTAACATGTTTTGGAAGATAAGCTGATATGCTATATCTATCTATCTATCTAAAACATTTTGTTACATCTTTTTTAAATTGCTCCTTTGACCAAAAAAAGTATTTTCTAAACTGTATCATGACACTATTTTCTAGTACAAAGCAGTCTTATTTTTAGAATGTCCACAAACTTACTTTGTTAAAATGTGTTCTCTTTTTACAAGCCAATTACCTTGAAAATGTCTGGGAGGAAATCCTGAAATAAGAATGTAACATTTCTGTGAAGAACTGGCAACTTTAAAAATTATCAAAAGGATTTTATTTGAGCTCTTCAGAGAAAATATAAAGCAAGACATACTAAAGTCAAAAGAAAAAGAATGATGAAGCCATAATAATACATGTCTGCCTTTGTCTTTTCACTAAGAGTAAAGTCTGTGACCTCCAAACCAGTTGTAGAAGTATATGTATACCAAGAGGAAGATCTTGAATTATTGAATATATCTGGACTGGTAAAATCTTGATAGGGTTCATAAAATGAATTTGGGAATTGTATACTGCTGGCTTGTTGTGGAGAACTTTTTATTTCATTCCGAATTTCTTGAGACTCATAATACTTCTGTCTTCTTCTTGTGCTTTCCTATAGGGAAGAAAAAAAATATATCAATCATATATATATGGTGTTAGGTTTGGGTTATCCTAGTACTTATTTTGTGTATTCTGTAAGAATACTAAATAAAACATGTTACACAAAAAGAACAAATTTTTGTATATTTTTTCCCGAGAAGTTTTAGGTCCTGGATCCTATGTTTTATCACATTAACCAACCAGAATCTAGTTAAACTGATTGGTTCTTTCAAATCAGCAAATAGGCCATCCCATAAGTAATTTATCCTCTAAAAATATGAAATATGAAAACAATTTTCTTGGCAAGACAAAAAACTGGGCTTATTAATCTTACATGGGCAGGACAGTCATAATTAGAAAGCTTTTTGGTCATTAATAATTAATGATTCTAAAGGAGCCAAGGCAGCAGAACAAGATGGTGGGGGCAGTGCTACATGTCCGCAGAGCAGTATCAATCAGCAGCCTCCTGCCCAGGCTCCAGAGAATGACGTCTTCCAATAACAGAGCTTGAGAAGACAGCTGGTTAAAATCCTTATTTGTCCTGAAAGTTGATCCAAGAAAAGATGCTCATTCTAATCTCCTAGCCAAAAAGGAAACAAGCAGGCTCTACAAATTATAGTTTTGCAGTGTTAAACTGAAATGCCTAGAAGCACACAACAAAATTTGTCAAGAGATGTTGCCAGAGATTCATGAAGATAAACATTAACTTTGTACTCTGGTAGGGACTTGGAATATACTGTATGGCAAGCAGGATCAAGTTGTCTACCTGTGGAGGTATGAAGGAGGATATCCTCATAATAAATCTCTGGATAAACATAAAAATCAGGTATTTGTGGAATTCCGTAAGGCAAGAAGCAACATGCTTATTTCTTAGGAAGAATCAGCCACTATTCCAAGGATAGGACCTAATATACGTGAACTCAGATCTTAGCAACTCCAGCCAGAAACTGATTGCATAGGGCAATTACTATTTAGGCAAAATGTGGGTTTATTTTGTTTTGTTTTGCTAAACTAACCTACACATTGATTGGACACAGTCTCAGTCAAAATCCTAACAGGCTTTGGAAATGCACAGGGCCCAAAGTAGCTAAAACAACCTTGATAAAGAACAGAATTGAAAGAAACATTCCTCAATTTCAAAACTGACCACAAAGCTAGAGAAATCAAGACAGAATGGTTCTGGCATAAGAACCAGTATTCAGATCAGTGGAATAGAACTGAAAGTCCAGAAGTAAACTCTCACATAAATGAGCAGTTGGTTTCCAACAAAAGGACCAAGGACAGGTAATTTTCGACAAAGGTGTGGAAGACACTGGACATCCTTGCAGAAAGATAAATTTAGACCCCTACCTCATTTTACACAAAAATTCTAGACCTAATAGCTAGAATATAAAACTTTTAGGGAAAAAAAAAATCTTTGTCTAACTGTAGACCCAAAGAGTTCTCATATATTTGTAATTCAAAGGACATCATTTAAAATAAAAAGTCACAGGGTGGGAGAAAATTCTGCAAATCATTTATCTGATAAAGGACTTGTATCCATAATATGTAAAGAAGACTTGACTAGTTTTCTAAAAGCATGTGAGAAGATGCCAGCATCATGGATTATAAGAGAAATGCAAATCAAAACCAGAATGAGGTATATCTTACCAATGGCCATTATCAAAAGAACAGAAAATAACATGGTGAAGATAGATTGGAACCCTTGTATACTCTTGGTAGGGCTGTAAAATGGTGCAGTCATTATGGGAAACAGTACAGAAATTCCTCAAAACATTAAAAGTAAGGGATCCCTGGGTGGCTCAGTGGTTTAACGCCCGCCTTTGGCCCAGGGCGCAATCCTGGAGTCCCGGGATCAAGTCCCATATCAGGCTCCTGGCATGGAGCCTGCTTCTCCCTCCTCCTGTGTCTCTGCCTCTCTTTCTCTATGTCTATCATGAATAAAATAAATAAATAAATAAGTAAGTAAGTAAATAAATAAATAAATAAATAAATAAAATCTTTAAAAAAAAATTAAAAGTAGAATTACCATATGATTCAGCTATCCTACTTCAGATATATATTCAGAATTCAAATAAGTTTCTTGCAAAGATGTTTATACACCCATCATAGCATTATTCCCAGGAGCCAAAAGGAAGAACAACCCAAAGATCTATAGGTAGATGAATGGATAAAGAAAATGTGATATAAGCATATAATGAAATATTTTGCAGCCTTAAATCCTACCACATGCTACAATATGAATGAACCTTGAGGACATTATGCAGAGCAAAATAAGCCAGTCACAAAAGGACGTATATGATTCCACTAACACAAAATATTTAAAGAGGTCAAATATCAAAGTAAAGGGGCAGTTGTCAAAGTGCAGGGGAACTGGTAGTTAGTGGGCCTAGAGTTTCAGTTTTGCAAAATGTAAAGTTCTGGAAGTTGTTATACAACAGTATGAATTGTACTTGGCACTACTAAACCACACAATTGAGGTATATGCTTTCTACCACAATAAAAAATAAAATTTAAAAACAGTGATTCCCAAAGTTCATCATGACATCCGCATCTTTTACCCAACGTATATGCCATCTATAACCAGAGTAAACTACCTAGGAACAGACCAACCACTATAGACTGAACAGATACAATATATGTAAGTTCCAGGAATTTCTTAAGTGTTTTTAACATCATTCCTGTTGGCCAGAGCTCCAAGAATCTGTTTCCTGCTTTCAAATAAGCTGGTTAAAAGTTCTGTTTCTGCTTCACATTGGTGACCTGACCTTCCTTGTACTATTTATCAAGTCAGGAGAGATTTAAAAACAAGGCAAAATATTTCAATCTTCATTTGATGTATTACCATCATTCCTCACAATAGCTACTTTCTCGACCTCTAAATGACCATTCTTCAAACTTGAGTTTTACTCTCACAAAAGTCACTTTCAGGATAGAGTTTTAGAAGGTAAAAAGTAACTTCTACATAAGGTATATAAAACAAAATAGATGTCTTGAAGCACTTTAGTTCTTCTACTTCGAAGAAACTATTGAGAGTCAAATAACTGACTTTAAGCTACTCTTTACTGCCTGAGAGCTAAAAAGTCATCCTATCACCATTTTCCTAAAGTTTTGTTATCTTTGATGCACCTGGCTGGCCCAGGGTAGAGCATATGACACTTGATTTTGATCATGAGTTCAAGCCCTATGTGGGCCATGGAGCCTACTTAAAAAAAAAGTTTCAACTTTATTTGCTACAAGCAAAGTAAGTGATAATTACTCCCATAAAGCACTGTTCTTCCACAAAGAAAAAGAAAATATGCCATCAAATTGTATATTTTTAAAGGCTGAGACCACCGGGAAGCTAACTTAAGTAGCATTTACATATACATGTGGAAGTAGATGATAACCCACCTAGATAAGAACAGAAGTCAAGCTACTAGAATTTCAAGATGGAATTGTCTACTATATAACCTGTGTGCCCAGTCTCTCTTTAAGCAACAACTGATATCAAATAGGAAGGCGCTCATGTAAGGATTTAACCACCAGTTGTCTTCAGTTTACTGAGTGATCTGCTTGGGAAAGATAGTCTGTGGCATGGGTTGTAAAAATGTTGTGAGCTGCCTGTTTTGTGAATAAAGATTGGAACACAGCCACACTCATTTGTTTATGTATTGTCTATGGCTGCTTTTATACTGCAATGGTGGAGTTGAATTATTCTGACAAAGAGTAGGCTGTAAACCTAAAATATTTACTGTCTGGCTCTTTAAGAAAAAGTCTGATCTATGGCATAGTTTTTCAAACATTAGAAAAAGCATACAAATCATTTTGGGATCTTGTTAAAATGCAGATCTCATTCAGAAGGTCTGACATGAGACCTTAGATTCTGTGTTTCTAAGAAGCTCCAGGTAATGCCAATGCAGCTGGTTGGCACAGCATACTTTCAGTAGCAGGGGCTTAAGGTATGCAGTAATCTATTTTGCTAGTTTAGTGTTTCCCAACCTGGGACAATTTTGCCCCACAGGACATTTAGCAACTTCTAGAGAGATTTTGGGTTACTATGACTGGGAGAAGGTACTATTGGATCTATTGGATAAAGACCAGAGATATCCTATAGTGTACAGGATAGACCCTTAACCCAGCTCAGTATGCCCAGAGTGGATGCTGTGGAGAAACTTTGAATTCTGAGCAAGTTACTAGCCTTGAATGCATATCAGAGTCAATTAAAAACCTATTAAAAATATCAATATCTCCTTTAGTTCTGGCCATGAAAAATGGGCATCAGACCTTCTCTCCTGCTGTTAAAGCCCATGAAATGAACACAACAGAGTTGGACAAATGAAGCAACCTATCAGGCACAGAAAACAAACAAGGCTGTCATTCTTGAAAAAAGGAAAACCACCTAGATCTTAGGCTACAATTTCAGATGACCCTTACCTTAGATCAGCCTCCAAAAAGCCCAAACAAGTCAGGACCTGACTAATAAGTTGAATCACCAATAAACTACCTCCCAGGATAAAAGTCAGCACTCTTTAAAGGAATACAATAAAATGTGGAATTTCAAGAACTGACTTGTATTCATAATATTCAGCATATAATAAAACCTTACTATACATGAGGAACAGGAAAATGTAAAAAGGAGAAATAGATATGACCCAGATGGTAAAATTTCAAACAAGGACATAAAACCTCTACATAAGTATGTTCAAGGACTTAAATGAAAAGTTAAATATAATTAGTGAACAGATTGAGAGACTCATCAGAGAAATGGGCAACATAAAATACTGCTTGAATGGAAAAATACATGAAATTTAAAAATCCACTGGTTAGGTTTAATAGCTAGAGGTCAGGCAAAGGATTAGACTGAAGCACAAGATAAAAGACTAATTTGGAAAATGAACAAAAGCCTCCGGAAAGTCCTGTTGAGAAAAGGTAAAGAATTCTAACTTACATGTACCTGGGTCTCTGAAGAAGAATCAGGATTAAGGCATGAAACAAATCATAGGTCAAACTTTTCCAATTTGATGAGTTATC